GTCCTTGTGGGTTTCTAGTTTCTTATTTTATTCCTCAGTTTTAATTAATTAGTTACAATGTTATTTGCAATTGTCGTGGGAGCTATCTTTTTTCTATTTAACATAATTCAAATTTTTATACTAAAAAGAATGCAATATCTTGTGAAAAGTCGTCAATATTTCTATCCTGCTTTAAAATCCGAAAATCAGGATGTTAGTTTGATCATTTGTATGTAATAGACCAATGCAATTTAGCATTCTGAACACACATTCATTAATATCTCAGACCTAGAAGATTGAAGAGTAAATGGAATGTTTAAATTTAGGATTGCATGAAAATAAGTTCAAAATATGCATGTTAAATTTATACAATTTTCATTATCATTTGAGTCGACCCAAGTCAGTATAATTCATTTTATTAACTCTTAGCTAAGGAATAAATGATGCTTGGAGGATCTTATTTGGAGTGTTTATATTTCTCTCTTTTAACTAATTAGTAGGCAAGCCTTCCGTTTAGCGAGTTCATAATCAGGAGAACCTGCTCAAGCAGCTTGAATGCTAGGGTTTTTCACAAATGGTCCACTTTTACAATTAATGTTACCCAAAATGTCCAAGAAGCGATACTGAGAACTGGGAATCTAAAAATTTGGGGTATATTTAAGTGATTGAAATCTTTTATTTCTCAACTCATCTCGGCACTCCCTTTCATCAATTGCACAGCCTCATTTTGCTTCTGTTGTTGAGAGCTGTAGTGCAGAAGTGGACGCCAGTTCAGTTAACCTTCGTGAAGAATCCATCTCTTCGGAACAGCTGGAATATTGCCAAACTGGGCAACAAGCCAGCCAGTCTGTAAATGTACAGCACCAGTCGTACAACAATGCTGTATATCTGGACAAGCCTACTTCTGGCATTTTTGATAGCGTCCTCTCGACATCTCCGGCTGGCGATTGGGACGCGAACCAATGCGATTCAACTCTCCTTCGTCTCGTGGCATCACTTCTTCAGGGAGAAAAGTGGGTTTTTCACAAAATATCTTTCTATTATTTGGTTTTTCATATATAATTGTGGACAAATTTGGCCATCCGAGCTTTTTGCTCCAATTAGAGCTATCCCGATACAAATACAATTCACGAAGACTCGTGACAGCCCAAAAAAATTGATTGCCTCCAAAGAATGTAAGTACTTGTTGAACCTTATCAAAGGAATAAAAGCAATATAAAAAAACACAATAAATGTACTGTTTATTGTAAAGTTGGTTTATCATTGATATGATAAATGTTTTAAGATAATTCTTCATTTTGCAATTGATTTGACTTTTTATACATCCAGAAATGCCTAATAAAAGTTAGTTTTCAAGGAACCTCTTTGTTTACAACTTTTGAGCTCACTTTTCTTTCGACGAATAGCCTTTAAGGTTGGCCTTTCCAAAACAGACTCCTCATGGCCAGCCGTCATTCAGCCTGACAAGAAAGTTATGAAAGACACTTGCCACGGGGCAATCTTTCTTAAATCTGATAAATTGTGCTAAGCTTGCATTCTACGTGTCACCATACATGCATCAGATCATGTCATTACTTTTACAAATTAATTAAATTAAAATGTCAAGAAGACTATTCAGTTTATCGTTATCTATACCTGCGCATTTTTATGAGGTATAAGTGCATTGTTCGGTTATTTCCTGTGTCAGTCTACCGTAACGCTAATTCTAGTAATTTGGAGCTGTCATTTCTGGTTTGTAACCCTTGCATACGCATGAATGCTTCTGGGTTGACATTTGACATGAAATATCCAAGTCACTCCATACCTCGTACAAATGCATTAATAAAAAAACAATGCGTTTTTTAAGTTAACTAACCCGGATTATTTCTGTCATATGAGGGATTACCTTTGAGGATATTATCAACCGTAAGCTTACATAAAAGTAAAAAGAAAGCTAGTTAAGAGATGTCAAAGGTCGTCTTTTTGTGGCATCATTTCACAAAAAGGCTATAAATATAGCGAATATATCGCCTCATCGTCTCATTAAGTTTCTAAATAAGATTACAAGCATGAAACATGTCGATTAAGAGGCTATCCGTATCTAGATCCATTTTAGTACAAGACTTTATTGTTTTGGTGATTTTCGACCGGAGTCCAGTGTGTGGTTTAGCTTAAACTAAAGAGATTTGTAATTTATTTTTTTATAGCAATTTATTTATTTGACAACAATCAGGAGCCTGTTTGTTAATGAGGTTCAGTTCATTGGTTCAACAATAAATAAACCGAGGCCCATAAACCTCTATAGCAATCAATAGCTTCTCGAGTTTAAAGGTTAACATGTCAACAAGAAAGTCTCCACAAATTTATGTGAATCAATAGACTCAATTAACCTTTTAAATTCTATTAAACTGCTACGTTCTGAAGAACGTTTAACGTTGAAATAATGACAATTACCTATTCGCATTTATTGAATGTCATCTTCTTCAAATATTTTTCGGGATATAATTATCGTGCTTTGGTAGATATCACCAAAACATTTTTAATACCCTTGAAATAGCAAATAAGGTAAGCAACATTGCTTGACCAAATATAACTTAAACTAATCAGAGTCATTCTTATTTGACAAAGTGCATTTGTTCATTGTCGTCTGTGATTCCTATATTTTGTTTTGCATTGATGAAACCTGGTTGACGAAAGTTTAGTGCGATTATAATGAAGTAGAGCTTAGAGGAGTCGAAGGCTTCCATACCGAAATCGACGAAAATAGAGGATTTATGACAAGATTTGATCCAGCACGATCCGCTCTCTGGGCTAATAAACGACCCTGAGAGCTAATCTCTTCCTTCAAATATTCACTCGAATCGCATTAGTTTCTTTAGCCATTTTTTTAGTTTCTTCCGGCAACCTCTTCTATTGATAGGAAGAAAAGGAAATATATGCCAAACTTGGGGGATTTCAGTTTTTTATAGGCAATATAATAAAATTATTTTGACATTTTTCCACATAACTTCATATTATTTATTTATGTTTGGAAGCTTCGCTGATCAAAAGCCTATTAGTTGAGGTTTCCTGGAATTTAAGAAAAGAAGACTTGGCTTTACCTTCCATGAAGTTGATTTATCCCTACCCGATTGCAGATCCGTGCTTAATCGACTTCTATCAACGCCTCCAAAGGGTTTAGAAACCTAGTGATTTGCCTCAACTTGCAACTCAGCACCAGTTTAAATGTCAGAAAAGCCATAGTACATGCGAATTTCATGGAGAAGTGAATTTTCCTCAATTCATCTA